GCAAAAAAATCGAAAGTGATTTTTTTATATATATTTACGTTTCAGAGATTTCTGAACATTTGGGCATACCTTAGAAAAAATGGATGTGTGGGTGGATACAATGTTTTGTCGACGATTTCGGGAACACGGATTAACCGATTTGAAAAATTAAAAAAAAAAGATTTTTATAGATAAAAAGACGTGCTGATTAGTTTTTGGAAAAGACAGGTCTAGTCATTTCGAAGATAAGGGCATAAAGTGCAAAAAACGACAACTCAGCTTTTAAGAGAAGGGTCCGATTTTAATAATTCAAAAAACATTTTATTTGTATTGACGAATTGAAAAACTGATGAATTTTTGGAACGACAGGTATAGCGGTTTCGGAGATCCAATAAAAAAAGTGGGGTTCCGTACCAATATTTATACGTTAGACAGCGATGCGGCGCTTAGGCGCTTTGATATTTTTTGTCAAAACATCTACGCAACACGATTGATTTGAGAAAACGTTCAAAATTTTCAGAAAAACTCAAAGTATATTTAAATTTTAAATATAAAAAAATCAAATTTTTCGAATTTTTTTTTTTTCAAAATTCTCAAATATCTCATTTTTTTAAGTTTTCAGATTATTTTAAAGGTTCTTTAAATATTTTGATTTTTGGTACGAAAAGTTCAGCATTTTGCCTTAAGGCACGATATCATACACCAGTAGTTTTTTACAAAATTGAAGAAATATGGCACTCAAAAATAGATTTTGATTTCATAAAAGTGTAAAATTTTTAAGATAAATATCACTTTCCTGATATTATCTATTTTCAGTCATTGCCTGAAATATTATTAAAAACTAACATAAAATGTACAATTGTATATTATTTTGATTGCAAATAAAAAAAGTACAATATTCCTTTAACTTCCTTAAGGAGAAATTTCTGTTTTCACCAGTAAATTGAAGTTACCAATTTTGAAGTCATTCTGAATCGTTTAACAACAAAATTGTCTTTCTTTACGTTTCAAAGGTTTCTAAACATTTGAGAGAACGGAGCGTCCGATTTGAATATTTCAAAATAATTTTACTTGAAGTGACAAGATGAAGAACTGATTAAATTTTTGAGAAGGCAGGTCTGGCGGTTTCGGAGATTTAGTGAAAAAAGTAAAAAAAATGCCATTTTGAGGTCAAAATTGATCATTAGACATATGCATATCAAATTATCAGATATTTTATGGAGATTTTATTAATGTGTATCAATTTTGTTTACGTTTCTATGAGTTTCGTAATATCGTTTGTCCTTTAGATGGCGACGCGGCGCTTACGCGCTTTTATATGCCGTCTCTATGCTGCTAAAGCAGTGCGATTGCTTTGAAAAACAGTTCAATATTTTAAAATGAAGAAAACATTTTTTTTCAAAATATATTTTTTTCCAACAGTCAATTTTATTAAAAAAATGAATTTCTCAAAAAACTAATTTTTTCAATATTTCAAAAAAAAAAACTTAAAAAATATTTGATACGGGAAATTCCAGCAATTTGCTTCAAGGCACGATGCCATACACCACTAATTTTTTTTTAATAAATTAAAAAATATCAATTACCTCTTTATTATAATGTTTGCTCTGCACATTATGAGTCGGGACCACGTTCATAGAATTACACAACACCGAATAATAATTATGAAAATAATTTCTGTACGATAAAAATTCATCTTCGTTTTCATCTTCGATACTTCCTTCACGTTTATTTCTCAATTCCATTTCGAATGTAATTAATCTACATTTTTTAGTGAATTAATTCAAAGTCAATATATCCTACTTTTTTTTAGATGCGAACAAAATTGAAAATGTCAATTTTGACGTTGAAGCGTCGACTTTTCGTTTACTCGATTTATAGATTGTATTAAAAAACATTCGAAGTTATTAAATTACAAATAATCGATGTAGCGATATCGGATGTCATTTTCTTTATGGATTTTGTGATACGCGTTTTAACTCACAAATATTTTCTTGAGACGGAAAAATGAAACCTAGGTTAAATATGAAAGTATATTGCTATTTTTTTTTCAAGTTTTCGCACAAATTTTCATTATACTTTCGTATAATGAATTATAATGAACACACATTCCTAAATGTATAAAAATCCACTACAATAAAATAATTTCAATGCTTACCTTCATCATGAAGGAAAATATTAGGTTGTCAAATATCTCCCTTCCGCCTTTTTGTATTATAAACCAATAGCATTTAATATGGTATACATGGCGTGATGATATGATAAATAATACTAGTGGTGTATGGCATCGTGCCTTAAGGCAAATTGCTGGAACTTCCCGTACCATAATCAAATATTCGAAGAATTAAATTTAGTTAAAAAAAATTGCACTTGGATAGGATAGTGCTGGCGGGGCACCAAGGTCCAATTTGAGTTCAAGTAATTATACTGTCTAAAAACCCAATAAACTACATCACAACACATAACACTTATCAAGCGAATAACTATCGTACTATATTCAGTGGAATTCTCAATTAATTCCTATTATAGAAACGTGTTTTTTTACTATTTTTTTAAATTTGTCATTTGTTTCTATTAACCCCATAGGCGGGGTAAATTAAGACATCTAAGCACCAAACAGATCCAATGTCTTAAAAGTAGTCAATGAAATAATAGGTACAATATTCAACCAAAGCAAAATAGAAATTTTATGGGAACATTTTTTTTTACAAAGATAACACTATATATAACCTCGATCTGTATTCTGTCAGATATATTCATCAGCATAGTTGGAATATTTATTAAATTAATTTATTTCTTGTAAAATCGCTTTTAAACTGAATTTACATTTTATTCACTTTCTTTTATTGTTTACGTTTTTGTCAGGGTAAAGGTTGGGTTGGTCCTTCTTATCCCATCCACATGTAAGCTATTACAGAGGATATATAAAAATATTTGTTGAATCCGACTTAAACTTAATAATACATCTTATAAAACAATAAAATAACGTATACTTAAAAACTATATTAAGCTCTAAACAACAGTGCTCACAATTAAAAAACCTAACAACGAAAATAAATATTTTTGTTATAGATTTTCAAATATGACTGTTTATCTTCTGATAGCGCCGTTTCTTGTATTGAGGCTATAATAGCTGATCTTTTTACCTCTACTTTCAAATATTCTTGTTAAAAAAATTCTTACTTGTTTTTGCGTTATTGGTGGTAGACCTTTTAACCCGCGGCCAATAGTACTTTCGTTGTTTTCGATTTAAAAATAAACACACTAGGAGATATTTCGTAAGGAAGAAACGAGATATTTCCTTATGTTGGGTGATACCCACAAGATACCTTTGGATCATTTATCACAAGAGTTATATTATACATGTCTACCACATATTTTATTTTTTATACTATAAGATGCTATTTTCTCCTTTAAATTTTGTATGCGTTTTTTGGTCCAAAAGCAATATCACTACACAAGAATTTTGTCATTTTTTTTGTCATAATCATCACCTTAAAGATGTTTCATGTTTAAGCACATTGCTTATATTTCGTACAATATTGCCATCTAAATTATGGTCATCGTTCTTTATTTTGTTATTTAGATATCCTAACAATCATCAACTTAAACTATTACAGACTCCGATTCTGTCGCACAACAGACCAATGTTATGGCAAGGCCTTGTTGCGTTTCAACTTACATGCATTATTGTACTGAATCGTACTGAATACTGTCAAATGTCATTTGCTGTGCATTCAGGCGTTTTACGCATAAACTGCAACGTCACTTGTGTGTTACGAAGCTGGATCAAAAAGACCCTTATCTGAGATCGTTTTTTTTTTTGACATTTGTGCGATTTTTAAGTTAGGTTTCCTATCTGACATGATTATATAATAGGAAATAGAAAATCAACTATCTACTTTTCACAATGATCAGTTACAAATTATGATGCTGGCTTTTCACTGAAAGCCACTTTTTACTTTGCATCTCTAAACACCACTGAAAATATTATTTTAATATGAATATTGCCTTATCCTTCATAAAAGATAACTATACATCAAAAATAGTGACCCAAGCAAGGCTTTCATATTCGTTGGAAGCAAGGAGAACAATAATTTATATATTTCAACTAGCAAACCCGACAAACTCCGTTTTGCCACCAGATGGTTTCGTGAGCAAGATGAAGAAATTTTTGGTTTGTTTTATATTTGAAAAGGAAAAATTTGATTTTATTACACAACAGTAATGAATTTATTTCGATTACAAAAATGAAGTGTTTTTTAGTTGAACTTCTCTAAGTAAATGAAAGTGAATCCGCAAATTATCCGTTTCATTGAAGTGCTCTTTGGTAAACCACATTTTTTGTTTTTTGGTCTGACGTTAACACCAAACAAAGCGGATGGTTTCCCAACTCGTGAACAGGCAACATATAACTGTCCATGTGAAAAACAATGATTTTCTAAATAATCTATTTGAAATTTATCCCGCAAACACTAAGCGATTGGCCTTGCGACATGTTAATTGTCATTGCGAACGCAAGGCGAACTGGAAATTGAAATCGTTTGAAGTCAAACGGAAGACCAGTCGGAGTCATTGGTATGTCACCAAATCGCCAGCGGTTTTGCGTGTACATCATTATTCTTTGCGGCAAGAATTGCTCGTTGACTTAACCAAGCACAATTCTGATAATTCTCACTAATGTCATTACTCGAATTTTTATTTAAGGTGCGTAAAGTTCCAGCAATTTGCATTAAGGCACGATGCCATGCACCACTAATTTTCTTAAACCTTAATACTAAGCTATAAAACTTGCGGAGCCCGAGACCTTTCCAACTAATGCAAAATTGTCGAAATCGGTTCGTGCGTTATGGAGTTATATCGTCAGGAAGGAAAACCCGACTTATTTTTATATATATGTATATAATAAAGATATAAAAATATTATTTTATACACGTTTTCTGAAAGCACTTCATTATTATGATTCCGTATATATGCAATAATTTTAATAATTTGATTAATATATTTTCTATTAATTTCAGGTTATCCTGCACGAGGCTAGGACAATGGGCAATTGGCTATGTAACGGCAGAAGGAGATATATTGCAAACGATACCTCAAAACAAATCACTTTGTCAAGCTCTGCTCGATGGATTTCGGGAAGGATTGTAAGTAACTTTACTTATTTGTTTTTGAAATTATATATTGTTTTCCTATAATATTTCTATATTTGATATAAAGGCATTCAGTTGCCTTTGGAATCTGTCTTCTGAACTGAATAACTCTTGTATCTTTGATCTTTATAACATTTTATTGAAATCCATTATTACTGTAATCTGTAAATTTATTTGTGAGCACTGTTGTTTATGGTAAGACTCGTGATACACACATTTATTAGTGTCAACCATTATACAGATTTATATTACGATAAATTATAAATTATATATTTATGATAGGATTAAAAATATGTATAATATTTTAAAAAATAATGTAATTAAAGTCATCCTTCAAATATGACATCATCGGTTTGTCATTGTAATTAGCGTTTAGGACTTGAACGTTCATAAGAGAAATATAGTAATTGCTGATTAATATTCGTTCACACAGTGGACAGCTGTAATATAACAATCTTATGTAATTTCATTAATAGTCCAGTCATTTGGTCATTTTGCCGGTACAGTACTCCGGGAATTCTGAAAATTGGTAATCTTATAGATTTCGAGGTGCTCTTTACGGAAATCAACTTTGCCACCTCAAATTTGAACGGCAAGTTGCCGCCATATTGAAAAAATGACGTCAAAAAACAGCTTTTTTAAAATATCTCCTTTCTGGCTCATTCTACAATAAAAGTATTTATGTACGAATTAAACTAAATAAAATTTCCTACAATTCTTTAGAAAACCGTTTTCTTGTAAAATTGATAGTTTGAGAGTACGGCCGCCTCAAAGTCTTTGCTGCTCTCGCCGTAGTATCAAATCTGTCCATACATGACAGCACTTCGAACTTGACCACATTCCTTCTAATAAATAAATATTTTCAATGTTAAATTAAGCGAATAAGATCTAGAAATAAATTAATTCAAATATTTTTCTGTTTTTTGGTGATTTTTTAACGCTTCAAGCTACTTGAAGCTATAAGGTGCTACTTAAGCTATAAGTATACCTATAGCTACTTTACCATTGAAGTGTTAAAAAATTAGCAAAAAAACGAAAAATATTTAAATTATTTTATTTCTAGATCTTATTTGCTCAATTTAACATTGAAAATATTTATTATTAGAGAGAATGTGGTCAAGTTCGAAGTGCTGTCATATATGGAGAGATTTGATACTACGGCGAGAGCAGCAAAGACTTTGAGGCGGCCGTACTCTCAAACTATCAATTTTACAAAAAAACGGTTTTCTAAGGAATTATAGGAAATTTTCTCTAGTTTAATTCGTACATAGATACTTTTATCGCAGAATCAGCCAGAAAGAAGATATTTTAAAAAAGCTGTTTTTTGACGCCATTTTTCCAATATGGCGGCAACTTGCCGTTCAAATTTGAGGTGGCAAAATTGATTTTCGTAAAGAGCACCTCGAAATCTATGAGATTACCAATTTTCAGAATTCCCGGAGTACTGTACCGGCAACAGCCTTTTTTTGCACCAAATGACTGGACTATAACACTAGCAATAAATAATCTGAATAGATGTCCATTATGAAGCATATCTGTATATAAATGATACACAGCTACACATGCTATTGTTGTTTGATTTCTTGTTTAGAGTAATAAATCTGAATATCAATTTATTCTGCATCATTTATAAAAACATGCAACTTTGTAATACTTCATAGCCATCACAATCGAAAAACATGTAGACTTCCTCTAAACCTCCAAAAGTGCCTGAGATATAATTCTGAAAAATATATTTTAGGCATGATAGAATAAAGCTTTAATATTCTATAAAACTGTAGAGAATTATTATGTTAAACAACGCTTAAATAAATGTTGTTTACACTATTGCATTTATCATGTAATTGTATTTGAAGAACTTCATGTAATTAAAATTAGCATACATTCATTGACTGCTTTTTTTACTTCTTTGCTATCGATACTTTCTATTTTAATAACTTCGATTATTTATAGAAACTACGAATAATATAGAAATTATTCCAATGAACTTACGTTTCTTACACGGCACAAATGTTTCATTTGTTTATTTCCACTACGTATACGCATACAATCAAACCTTTTCACGGGGTACGACGACCAATCACAATCGACCCGTATAGAAATGATATCATCGAGAGCGAATGACGAATCATCGGCACTCGACTCGAGCGTACCGCTTTTTCATTGCATTTTTACAGATTTACACCCTAAAGAAGTTTTACTTCAAAAAAAGTTTGATCTATTTATTTTGATCTCCAAATCAGAATATCAATATCAGAAGAACTGAAGCTTTGAGTTCTTGTTGGCGTTTTCAATTATTTTCCTTGTTTCAAATAATTGATAAAATGTTATTGCTTATTTTTTACAAAGAGAAACGACTGCAAAATATAATTGTGTCAGTGACATTTATTTATTTACCGTTCTGACTATAAAAACAGGTGTATTAATTTCATAAGTTTTGTTGTTTCCAACTTGTTATAAAAGCGTAGAAGGAAACGTTTCCTTTTCATTTTTATTTAGTGTATATCTTGTTATTTTTGTATAAGATATCTTGTTATTTCTTCAGGTATAATATATCGTATGTTGTTTTTATATTTTATTCAATTTGTTTTTGCCTTTGAGTCTATTTGATATAGGTATGCAATAAAACATGATAAACAATTTAATGGAAAATGTTATAAGACTTCGGATATTTCTTCTCTTATTAGGTTCTTCATGATTTGATATTTTTATTAAAATAATAAATACAGAGACGAGAAAAATAATTACTTTAGACAGAAAATGCAGAATAATATCCTTCAGCTAGAATGTTGTTTGTTGTAAAGTGATTGCCAATTATTTGTTATGATAATCATTTTTTAAATATAGGGTAGAGCGGGGCTAAAACACCCATACCAGCGATATCTCAAAAAGTTAATATACATTTGAAATTTAATACATTTTTAATAGTTACAAGTAAAGATTATTTTTAACAATATTTGAAAGTAGAGGGAAAAAATGTATAACAATTTTTTTTAAAAAAAATTACTCTAATACAATAAAAAATAAGTGTTAAAGTTGGGCAACCCTTGATGAAATTAATTTTTTTGTGTAAATTTGAGCTTTTCACAAGCACCGGAAAGTTGGAAACTAAATTTGTTACTTATGCAACGATTTTTGCGAAAAAAAATTGCCTAAGCAATTTTAAGAAATATTTAGTACATAGTTTCAAATGCATAATTTTTTTCATTTTTTTATGATTATTAATATTAGAATACTAAATTGTTTTATTATTTTCTAGTTATTTGTATCCTGATGGAAGAGCAGTAAATCCAGATCTAAGTTGGGCTGTTCAATCTCCTTCAGAAGATCATATAGCTGTTACACAAGAACAATATGAACTTTATTGTGAAATGGGTAATTATTTCATAAATAAATAACTAAACAGTAATTCTGTGCTGAAAATATTTATCCAAAAAACATTCAACTTATGATCATTGTTATTTCCATAACACTTATTGATAGTGATGTTAGTTTAGTTCGAAAGCAAGTTACAAGCACATTCTAAGTGTAACTTTATTCTACATATCGGTTTCTTATAAAGTTACAATCCCACTTGAAGACATTTAGGAACATATTTGTATTACAACATATTTGATACCTATTTTTTTTTTAATTTTTGTTTATGATTTGACTTTGTATACACTCCATAGTTTTTGCCTATCCTTTTCTCAGTTTTTGCACTGCAGAATGACGTGCTCAGCATCCGCCATAGTCACTCCACTAGAACCTATTTAACACTGGACATACCTAAGGGTCCAGTCCAGTCCAGTCCAGTCCATTTTAAACTCTGAATGAAAAGCATGTCATCATTTTATTGTTTTTGTATATTTGACTTCATTTTTTTATTTGATAATTTCGATTAATGCCTTGTCGTATATTCTCTTACTATATTAAGAAGTATACTACTGATGATTCACCCAGAAAGTTTTCTTCTATTTTATAGTGTCATACGGGGTGTTTTTTTATTTGCTTGCATATTTCTGCAAATACTTATGATTTTGCTTGCACATTTCTGCAAGACAATTGCTTAAAATAATCTGTAAATCATTTACAGAATATATGAAAGTTTTAGATAGGACGGTAGCGTTTTAGCGTTTGTGATGATACCAAAATTGAATTTTTTAAAGTGTCTTTTTACCCAGGTGAAAGTCGAAGCAAACAATATAGTATACACACGATATTTTTTTGTTATTGCACGAGATGACAATTAAGTTCATCATATCTAAATAATCATGATCTAAATAAATTCATCATATAAGAATTGAAAATATCGTTTATTGGTAATATGGCAACATTAATAATATATGCATGTATTAATGTCAACCATTGTACTACTATTTTAAAATTACTTACTATCTTTCTTCAAATGTGTTAAGTTGGTTTAAGATAACTGACGCTCAGACAAATTCTGTTAGCAAATTGTCTAAATTGCTTTGAGAAATCTAGACATCAATAGTGGTACCAAATAGATAATCATTCTTCTACAAAATCAATCGATGTTAAAGATTCATTCGAGTGAAACTTGATATTGAAATGTCAGCAAATGGTATCTCATTGAAAATAGTATTTAGAAGACTTTAATCTTTATTAGAGATATCAAGTGGTTGCTAATGAATAAGTTATTTATTACTTCATTTAGTTTTTATAGTCATATAGAGTAACACAGTAATGACTAAATATCAATTCGTTCATTATTTATTCAAATGTTCAATAAGTTGTATTACTTTATTCTGAAGATCAGGCGTTTCAAGACATTGTATGTTTTGATATTTGAATAACAGTAAATATCATCAAAACCTATTTGTTGTTGAAAGTTTTTTGTACTGTTGTTCCTATTCAACTCAATTCAATTTCACGAATGACGAATCCCTTTCGTTGCATTTTCTCTAATTTACTCCCTAAAGATATTTTGCCTCAAAAGTATAAATGCTGTTTGTAAAGTTCCAACAGCATTTTCATTGGTAATTGATTACCATGTTTATGATCAATATGAGACCATGCACAATTAAAGAAGCAAAGAGAGTGTTAGGATCCAATTGGTGATAAGATGCATTTACTACAACTTTATCTATAAACTCTTAATGAAATATAAAAACCATGCAATCAAATTTGGATATAGCAAACATTGAATAAGAATTTGAATAACATTCATTGCTGATAGTTGATCAATTGAAGAACAGCTTGTAAGAAGTTGATAGTAATTAGTATATTATAGCTGTTGTATGGATAAAATGTGTAGATAATAAATTCTAGATAGAAAAGAAATAATGAGAAATATTGATTTTGTATTAATAATTCCATGTTTTCCTCTTTCAGGGAGCACGTTCCAACTGTGCAAAATATGTGCTGAAAATGATAAGGACATCAAAATCGAGCCTTGTGGACACCTTCTTTGTACGCCTTGTCTTACATCCTGGCAAGTTGTAAGTAATCGAAATTATATAAACCTACAACTTTTCTGCATTTCTGGCTAGATGAAGAGGATTATTTCCGAATTGTCAACTATGTGGATAAGCAAGCTTTAGCTTCTTTAAATTTGTCCTTGAAGAGGATGCTTCTAATACTGCCTAATTGATATTCAGAAGACTTTTTTTATTATCAAACCAACCTTCTAAAATCTGGCTAATGTCAATGATTTTGAGATTGATAGAAAAACTAAAAGACAAAATTTACAAACATGCTTTACGCAAAAATGTAGTGGACCAAGTAGTGTAGATTTTTATACTTTATCAATTACATGATAGCCTGAAAACCAAATATATTTAATTATTCTTTATTAATCTTTTCCTTCTCTTCCAGGATTCCGATGGCCAAGGTTGTCCATTCTGCAGGGCCGAAATCAAAGGCACAGAGCAAATAGTTGTGGATGCTTTTGATCCAAGGCGACAGCATCAGAGAAATTCTAATTCTAATTCAACTTCAAATAATTGTTCGAAGACCTTGGTTCAAACGCAATCTAATAATTCCAACAACAGTTGTGAAGATGCATTTGATGATGCGGAGGTAAAGAAACAACCACATGTTGTTTGATGAAAATTTTAGTTTGTTTTGTCCGTTTATTGTATCATCAGAAAGATATCATACTGGGTTCAAATTTTGGTAATAAATCACGTATTCATTTATTTACTTTCAAAGATTAATAAAATGAATGGGAATGACTTTTACTTATTGACATACACCAATTTTTCTATTTTACTATGCTTTTTTGAAATATAAAAATATAAAAAAAGAAATCGAGTTAAAAGGTAACACCAGGAGTTTTTGTCAAATTAAATTTTATTGCTTCATATAAATTTTAGTTTTATTTTAAAGTTTTATTTAAACTTGGAGTTTGCATATATAAAATTGTTTTACATATATGCATCGTGGTACCATCCAAATCAATATCAGCAAAATTATCCCTTTCGAGGGATAAATAAAAAGCAAAATGTGATTCATGTGTGTTACCACATTCTGGTTTTGGGTGTAGGTGGTTGGTACTCCAAACTTTCTAAAATATTTTCTGTGAGCTTTTTTAAACCACCGGGATACAAGTTAATGTAGTCATCTATAGAAGGTTTTTTATGGTAAGTATCATCATTGTCACTAGTGACACGTTTTCCTTAGCAAGACTTTATTGTGCTTTTTTTTGTTTGGTTCCTGTTTTTGTGACTTTACATGCTAGGTCTTTAGGGCTCTTTGGCAAATTTTGTTTCAAGGGAGTAACCTTCTTTTTATTCACTACCTTTTTATTTTGCACCTCAGACAAAGCTATTTTTGGTTTTAGCTTTGGGATCCAGTAGACCCAAGGTGTAAGAAAATGGTTATACATTTTAACTCATTTATGAAAACTGGAGTTGTGGTACTTGATTACGTTTAAAATTTCTTGCTTGATCTAAGTTCATAAATTTGACTCTAAATAATATACCTTTGACGTTAAGTAGACCCTATGTGTACAAAAAACATTTTAGCATTTTAACTCATTTGTCGCAAGTTCTTATTTGAAAACTAGACTTGTGGTACTTCAATTTGTTTAAATTTTTTTGTGTAACTGAAGTTTATGAATTCGACTCTTAATATAGCTGTGAGGTCCAGTAGACCCAAGGTGTACAAAAAGGGTTAAACATTTTAACTCATTTATCTGAAAACTAGACTTGTGGTACTTCATTACTTTTATATTTTCTTGAAGTTCATGAATTTGACTCTAAATATAGCTTTGAGATCCCAGTAGACCCCAGGTGTTCGAAAAGGATTAAAAATTTTAACTCATTTATAGCAAATTCTTAATGATAACTTGAATTTTGTTTAAAATACAACGTGGAAATTTCAAAAATACATTTAGTAAAATTTATAATAAAGCAATATAATTGAATTTGATGAAAACTTCTAGTACCTACTACCTATTAATTACCTATTACCTATAAAGTACCTATTAATTCTACCTATTAACTTAATTTCTTTCTTTAAATTTTTATATTTGCAAAAAGCATAGTAAAAAATTTTATGAAGATAAATATCACGTTCAAAATTTTTTGCAAGATTGGAGTTCACGAATTTAATTATAAAATTGGTAAAAAAAACATATTTAATTCATAGACAAATTTTACTACCTGCATAGGAAATTTTAGTATTATGCCAGACATTTTTACTCAGTTTGATAACATATTATAAGTAGGGAATATGCATGACATTTTAATAAAAATTCGTCTTATATTACATTAAGTTCTTTCATCATCCATTAGAAGTTTTTTGCATTTGATTATTGGCATGATTTTGCATGCTCATCGAGTACACTTTTTGCATCTGCAATTATTGCATCATGTTTTGTGCATGTTTGATGAGCACTTAAATTTTATTTTTTAGCAAACTTAGAAATTAAAATTTTTAATTGTTATAATCATGCATATTCTTTACTGTTTTTGCTTCATTAAGTTTTTATTATTACTAATTATCACATGTTTTCGAATAAACAGAACATTTGAACATACTTGCATCATTAATTGGAATTGTATTTATAATTGTAGTTTTAAGGAAAAACATCGATTGAACTAACAAATGAAAACGTATTTTTTGTTTGTTTTTATCTATAATATTTATTAGTTATTTTGAATATTGTGAAAATGGCAATATAGATGAGAGTAACGAGGTATGGAATATATCATATTGAGTTTAGACATAAATTGAACCGGGGAAAAATTAAACCGGTGCATTTTTTCAATATAAAAAAATCATACTCTAATTTTTCTGAATTGATTCACAAAAATTCATTTCCATTATCTTTTTTTTATTCATTTCCTATCCAAAACCGTTAAAAAATGTACATAAAAATAAATGTATATAATTTATTTGCTTAATATATTTTTTAACTTTTATTGAAGTTCAATTTTGTATTAGAACAGTATTTTATTTTTAAGTTAATTACACGTGCTTCCTCATATTTTAAATAAGCGGACGTAAGTCGTTATTTAATTAGATAATAAATATTATTTATTTTAATTACTTATTATATCCAATTATTAAAAAATTAATTCATTACTACATGCTTACAATATTACCTTATTAATACACATGTATAATTTCAATAAATCAAATTTACTTGTAAAAGATTCCGATGGATAAAAAAGTAAAGGATATTTTATTTATATATTTACGTATAGACTGCGAATAATTAGGTATAATAAATATTTGTGCAGATTTTAAATTATATAAATATAATATCTTTGTAAAATAACGTATTGGCAATCAGCAAAACAAAATTTTTTAACCATGTTCCTCTAATAGTTTATAATAAATTGTTTTCGATATTATTATTCTAGTACAGAAATTTTTCAAAATTTGCTTTGCCAAAATTATAAAACAAATATTTAAATTTTGTAGTTTGAAGAAAAAAACTGAATTTTTTGAAATTAACATGTGATTTATGAAGCATGTACATAGGTATGTCTGCATTTGTTATTAATACAACTTTTTGCTAATAAGAAAGTTTGAATATATTGCATTTGTTACAAAAATTGTGCAATATCCTCAAACTTATATATTATTAGCAATTATAGCATGAAAACTATATATTTTGTTTATTATTAGGACCCTATGGAATGTGCATTTTGCCAATATTGTATATTTATATATATATATATATATATTTATATATATATATATATATATATATATTTATTTATATTTATATTTATATATACAGGGTGTCCCAGAACTCAACGCCAAGCCAAACGAGATGATAGTATGCCCTGAAAAAAATTACCTCACGTTTTTCGGAAATTATGAGCTTTTAAGTGAAACCTTGAGCTTTGGTGAAATTGACTATTTTACGGTGGTTCATTTTTAATAATTTTGTTCGTTTAAACTTTGAAATCGTAACCGTGAATAACATCTCTAAGACTACAGTAAAAAATAATAATGCAATTGCCTCAAGTTTTCAAGAATTAAGACTTTTTGTTCGACTATGAAATTAAATTTTTGATATTAGTCGACTTTAAGAGGCCATCCTTTAGGATAAATGTACTAAAATGCGTTGGCAAGTGTCATCAAAAGTTGGCGCATTTAATCAGGATTGTAAAAAGGTAAAATACTTGATCATTTTATTATTAAAAAATTTCAAGTAAAAAATAAAAATCTAAAAATAACGAATTTCGCTCACATTCAGTTCAAATGTTTCTCTCTTGAACTGATCGTGACTAAAATGCACTAGCAAAAATCATGTTATTTTAAGGTGTTTATATTTTACTCAAAAAATTCCAATAATAAAATTATCAAGTATTTTACCACTTTGCATTCCTAATTAAATACGCCAACTTTTGATGAAACTTGCCAACACACTTTAGTACATTTTTTTTTTAAAAGAAGAGCCTGTCAAACTCGACCGATTTTAAAAATTTTAATTTCTTATTTCAACTAAAAGGGATGATTCTTGAAAACTTAGGGCAATTGTATTATTATTTTTTACTGTGTCCCTAGAAATGATATTCACAGTTAAAGTTCCAAAGTTTATATATAATTTATCTAATTTATTAAAATACAAAACAAAATCATTAAAATTTAATCTGTAGTAATTAATAAAATATTAAAACTCAATATTAAGTTCATTTTGTCAAAATTTTGCAAAAAATATAAATTCATATAATCAATTATTTGGGAATATAAATTATACACAATATATTTATCTTTTTCAGTAAAATTCACTGAAGTAATCTAATTTCATATAATTGTAAACAAATAACATGTAGTTTAATTCATTAATTGCAAAATTAAAATATTTAAATTTTATTGCAAAATATTAAAATATATTAAATTAAAAAAATCTGTTTTAACAGTTTCTGAAGGAGACAATTTTTGTCCTCAAAACGTATAAATAATTATAAATGAAAAATTAAACAATTTTTAGTAAAACAGGCTTTTCGTTCGAAAAAATTTAATTGTTTATTAATAAAAAAGAATTCCTTAACAAAAAAACTTGTCTTTAAATTAAATTTGTTGAAATTTTAATACTATGCATAATTAATGTTAAAATCAAGTTTTTGCAAAATTTTTAATTTTATACGATCATTATTTTTAGAAAGACATTATTCATATTATTAACATTATTTAGTACAAAAAATGACAAAATTGTGAAAAAAATCAAAACTTAATCCAATTTATTATTTGCAAAAGGATTGAATTAAAACAAATAATTTGTTTTAACGGTTTCTGAAGAAGGAAATATTCTACATCTCCGAAACGTAGAAAAAAATACAAAAAAATCTAATAAATATTTCTTTGCACACCAGAGCCCTTAATTATGTAATTTATAAATATTACATATATTATGTAATAAAATAAATATAATTCATTAACAGAAAAAATCTTCAAATTTAACTTAATGTCATTTCCAAAATCAATTAATTATTTAGGTAAAAAAATTAAAATATATATTTCTTATCAAAGTACTTTCAAAAAAACATTTTCTAGTAAAATAAATTACTATAAATTATAAACAAATAACACTTTAACAAAATGTGTATCACCACGAC